GTATGCAAAATAACTAATGGTGTCATGCATGTATCAGTTGCTCAAAATTTACTAACATCATTATCATCATCATCCTATTTCTGGAACTCTTCAGGGATGATAAATTGATCCCTGATCTTAGTTTCTATCTGTCATTATCTGGGATCAATCTTCCTTTTACATAACATAACTGTCTTATCTTTCTCACTGTAGAGGAAGCCCATGTATGTCTTATTTGAACCTTCCTCTGTTGCACATATGACAAAACTCCCCAAAACCTCCTTTCAGTGCTTCTGCCCTTTCTTTTTTAATAGACTATGGGTGAGGGATCTGAAGGACCTTGCAACTCTGCCACTCAATTCCAACACCTTTCTATTTAACGGAAGGCCTTGTCAGTCCAGCCCCCCATCTTTGGCCTCCAGCCCTCTGTAGTCACAGCACTTCAGAGAGGACTTTCCACAGAGCAGACGCTGATGGAATGGCGACTTGTGGATGTTCTGTGTGGCTGTTTTTTCCCACAGGTCTTGGCTCTCCTCTCTTTCATCATTCTGCGTGCTCTGCTGTAGATCCGATGCCTTCTTGTCACATTTAGCTTTTAAAATGAGGAAGAACAAAAGTCAGAATATTGCTCTTGTCCTTGCCTTTGGCCAGTTCATTCAAACAAGAGACCCAGAGGGGTTTGACCTGCAGGTTAAGTTCTGCCATGAACCTAAACTGAAATAAACAATAACAATAGTTAACATTTATTAAGCACTGTGCTAAGCTCTGACATGCATTCACTAATTTAATTTTGTATGAGATAGGTACTATCTCATTACCTACGGATGAGGAAACAGGTTTAGAGAAATTAATAAATTGCCAATGGTGAAGCCAATGCTAAGGGCAGAGCTGGGTTTTGACTTCAGCAGCTTGATCCAAGTCTGTTCTTAACCACTGTAAAGCACTTCTAGACAGATATATGCAAATTTTTAAAAGGTACTCATCTGGGAAAGAGGCTTAGGGGCAAGAAGTTGTACTATATGAGCTCCTATGGATTGCTTTTACTCCATAATTCTTCCCAAACAAGGTCCTGTTAGGACCATCACATGGCTCCATAGTCAAGACCACAACCTGAGTGGCTTCCCTCCTTGGCTTATAGATGGCTGTCTTCCCCCTGTGTCTACACATTGTCTCCTCTATGTGTGTATTTATCTCTGTATCCAGAATTCCCTTTTAATAAAGACACCTGTCATATTGGATTAGACCCACCTTAGTGACTTCACTTTAACTTGATTACCTTTGTAAAGGCCCTTTCATCTTGATGTACTGGAGGGGACATAATTCAACCCATAGGAGCTCTCCTCTGTCATTTCAAAGGAAAAGTCATCATTGTGAATCTACTATCCCATGGCACTTGGAAGTGCCCAAGTTAGCTTTTGGAGTCAAACGGCAGCTTTATTAATGCTTCATTTGCTACTTTTAGCCAATAGTCAAGTAAAAGGATCTCTGGGTGCTCACCTACAAAAACAGAAAGAACAGGTTTAAGAAATAAAGAACGAAAAGGAAGGTTTTAGTCAGTACCTAAGTTACAGAAGCTCTTCACTGCTGATGACATGTAATGGATTCTTAGTGAACCAAACACTATTCAGGAATTAGGTATCCCCAAAGGAGGATGTAGTGTTTTCTATTTGGCTTCCTAATGAATTTAATTTACTTCTCATAGAGGAGCAACTTACCTTCAGAATCATTTATTAGTGCATCAGGTGACTCCACTTGTAACTGCTGATGTTGATAAACAGTGTTAAACTCTTATGAACTGCTGACAATCAACACAATTTCCTCCTCTTATTTTACCAGGGTAAGGGGCATTGCAGCACTAAATTAGAGAGGAAACCAGGGTGTAGGAAATACAAGCTTTAAGATGTATCAAATGAAATAATAGCACCATGATTTAAGGCAGGTACTGAAGAAGTAAAATGATGGAATCCTACCTACCTATTGCCTAAGGCTGCATCAGATTTAAAAAAGAAACTAAAAATATTTGTTTTAAAGGTTCTACTCTTTTGTTCATTAAAATGTAAAATATTATGGAGAAAAGTGTGTAAAACACCTTCAAGGAGGATATCTGTACCTATTATTTACCCACACATCTCAGTAAGGACACATGAGAAGCTCCTAGTTATGACTAGAGATCTCATGGGAGGAAAAGTAGGTTTTCACTGTCCATGCTTTGCATAGTTTAATTTATTTAAAAAAGATAGCCCCATGGTTCGGCTGACTGCACAGGCACTATGCTTGTCAGGCATGCACAGTTTCCAAGCCCCTTGGAGGTTCTAAGAATCCTGTCAGCCTCCTTTTCTCTGTGCTAATGGTGGGACTGCCTGTGGGCATGCGCTAGAGTTTAGCTTAAATTCATGCAGAAGTCTATTAGTTTCCTTTTGAGGACCCCTCTTCTATCTCTATCAGACCTTGTGAGAAGTGCAGTGAGAGCTGCCTGGCTGTTTGCTTCCTCAAGCTTTAGGGACTGCAAACTCTCAGCCGTTTATTGCCATACCTGAGGAAAGCCCCTTGCCTCAGTCACAGAAACTTAGGTTTGCCAGAGTCTTCAAATGCCCACCATGTCAGCCACCCTGGCCCCGTATCACTTGAATCCATCCATTCGCCAGCATCTCCGAGGACTGTCCTTCCTGTGCGCACCCACTAGCGGTGTGTGCCCTTCAACGGAGTTCTTCCTGGCAAAACCTTCTCCTCACTGGGGCTGAACTTGAACTCCATGTAACTTCTACCCGTGACCCTGGCCCTACCTGGATTTAATGCCACCTGGAGTGAGTGTAATGCCTGTTTCCCAGGAGGCCCTTTCGCTTGGCTGCCCTATCTCTCCTCAGGCTCTTCCAAATAAATAACCCCAAAGCCTTCAGCTAACCTTGATCTCTTGGCCATCCTCTTCAGAACATCTGTGGCTGTATGAGACTGAGGTTCCCAACAGTGAAGGCAAATTTTACCAGTGCTCTGAGCAGTTGGGAGTAGACATAGCCATTACCAGCCTTAAACCGTATGTTGTAAATTTAAAATTTAAACCAAGATCAAAGCATCATTTACTTTTTTTTTCCCTTGTGGACATGAAGGGAGGGATGTGGGTGGTTACATTATACCACCACATCACACTGTTGATTCACTTTGAGCTCACTATTGCATAAAATGCCTCAGTCATTTCCATGATGTGGTTTTGAATCCTATGCTTGCTTTTTCTGGAACCACGCAGAGCCCTGCATCTTTTCCTATGTCATTTCATCTTGTGCACCCATGGTTAGAAGTCACAGAAGCATTTAAAACCAGAATTCTATTTTATGTATTATCCCGCTGGGTTAGCAAACCTGCCTCTGTGTCTTCATGAACAACAATAAAAAGAGTGTTCCTTTCGGGGCAGAACTCAGGTCAGACTCCATGCATTCTACTCTGTAGGTGAAGGAGCAGCTGGTGTTGGGCGGGGTACCAAAGAAGGCTTGGGAACTAGGAGAGCTTCCTGACCAGATGCTTTTATTTATCCCATTCAGAATGAGCATTGGAATTAGTGAAGTATAACAGGATCTGTTTGTATTTCTGCTCATGAGGAAAAAGTCATTTCTAAGATGGGTGTTAGCAGCAACAGGTGGAGAGAGAGTACAAAAATAAGGAGAGCCTGCATACTCTTACCCATCATTTCTCTCAAGGGCTCAAGAACATGGAGAAGGTACCTGCAGAATCACTGGCCAGGGGACTTTCCTTATGTTTTCAGCACTCAGACTGTAGTCTTTCATTTAAGATGGCTCCAGAGTTCCAGAAAGACTTATAAGAAAGTATTTTGGGTTTTAAAATCTGCTAATTTTTCTTTTTCCTTTCCTTTCTTTCCTTAGAACTAACATTTTACCAAGGGGGAATTAAAGAATCAATAGATAGTTAGAGTTGAGAGAATCTTGGATATTAGGTTCTTTATTTGTAATATGGGGCAACAGAATTAGCTGTTGTATGAAAGTTATAAAGATTGCATGAGAAATGCATGGAAGTACTCTTAGTGGACCCTGGCTCATTTGAAAGGCTCAGTGGACATGGACTATATGATCGTTGCTGAAACAGCAGTCATTTCTCCCTTCTCTCCTGAGAGAGGCCCTGAGGATGGTAAAATACAGAGGATAGTAACCTAAAATGAGGTGAGTGAGGAGTGCTGGGTAATTTAGTTTATGTTATACATTTTAGTCCTTAGCCAAAGTGCAATGGGAACACACTGTAGGAGTTAAGAAAGTCGTGGTGGGAAGAACAGAATGATTGGATTTTAATTTAGACAAGTCTGACTGTAGTGAGGAGACATTGAAAGCACACAAGGGTAAATATGCTATAGCTGAGATAAGAGATGATGGGAACTTGAACAGATGATAGTGCTAGAGATGGACTTGAGACTCATAAAACTGATAATAGTTGGTGCTGGACTAGGAAAGTGTAGTAGGAGCAAGGGAGATGGAAATTCCAGACTTGAATATGTTGTGGACTAACAGGTAGAGGGATAGAGAGCTCAGGTGGATTTTTAGATCAGATCAGAGGGAAAGTCTGGCAGGTTCTCAGTGGGGAAGGATCCTCTATTCCACTGGTGGCAGAGCACAGCATTTCGAATTAGCTTGACTATGTTTTCCTGGAGAAGCTCCTCTAAGACATCCTGATTTGGATGGATTTATGTGAAGCTCTGTGAAGTCAGAGATCCTGCACGTTTTGTTCCTTGCTTAGGAATAATAGGCCAGTACCTAGCAGAATGCCCAGCACATGTCCCCCAAAATATTACAGATAAAAATATGATATTTTTTCCAAGATGACAGAATACAAGAAGCAATGGCAAGATGGAGAGATTCAGACTCATGATGCAGTGACCTTCTGACTTCCCCACTTCCTTCCTTGCCTCCCTCCTGGGTCTTGTGCTTTGAGAGTATGCCTATATACCCCGAACACCCGACCTTCTCATTTGGTTTAAAAATCTCTAAAAGTAAAAAAATAATAAAAAAATAAAAACAAAAAGCTCTAAAAGTTTCTTGGTTTTATTTTGAGATGATACTGTATTATATTTGGGAGCATTCTTTCAAGAAGAGTGTTTTTGGGTTGGATGAAACAGGGAGTCACCAATGGTAGGTGTTGGGGAAATGAGCAAGGAACTGGCTCCAGGCAACACAAAGGGGATGACGCCATTAGGCTCGACAACATGACTAGAATGGTTGGAAATTCAGCAAAGGAGGTTTCTGCAGGTTCCAAAGTCCTGGTAGCCCTGGAGGCCTGGAAGGTTAGGGAGCAGCAGCAAGGCAGACATTCTCAAAGCAGTGAAATGAAGCCAGGAAATGGGAATTCAAGGGGGAGAAGGGGCAGCTCCAGCAAACAACACTGAGGGACTCCTGCTCCAAGGACAGGTTGAGTGACAGTCACCTGACCCATAGGTGGCTGACTGAAACCAGAAGAAATCAGAGATTTACTGGTGAACTTCTCTGGGGCTGGGCCAAGAGAGAGACGACTTCACAGGTAGATAGTGACAATAGTTTAGGGAACTTTGCCTGAGAATTCTTCTGATTCTTGCTGTGATTTTCTTCATTTTCATGCTTAAAGGATGAGTGTATCTTCCCTCAAAATGATGAAATATGTCCAAGTGAATGGACACCATTGGAAATTTCATTTTTCAAAGTCGTCAGTATGTTGTAAATCTGAAAAGAGGAAACTACCTCATAAGCAGATGTCTCCAGAAAGGTGAATGAAAATGAATATAATTATTGATGTCATCAAATGGACATGGCTTCAAGCAGGAGATAAATATTTTTTTCACAATGACTGTGTGTGTGTGTGCATGTGTGTGTGTGTGCTAGATAATTTCTCTGGCTCTTTCACCCTATAATATTCTACAACAAATGTTGAATTTTGACACTCCCAGCTTTTTCACATAAATATAAACCAACTTCTGTGAATAATACTGAGTGCTGGAAACTGGGGAAGCATTTGGTTTTCTAAACTGTCTCTCTGGATGGGCTGTGGGCCAAGGACCAGCCCGATTTAGAACCATGAGTGCAAGCAAGGAGCAGACCTGCTCTCACTGAAACTTCAGGCTGAAGGGAGTCTTCTAATTTAGTTCTGTATCTTCATGGCCTTCAGGGACATCTCTAGTACAGGATTCCATTCCATCTCTGATATTAAATCATATCAGATATTCTGGGTCTTGTTATATTTATAGCCACCAGAATAAATATAAATATCCTCCTTTCTTCTCCAAGAATGCTTGGTCACTCTGTTGTCACCGTCTTCCCACAGGCAGCTGTGCGTGCAGCAGTGTCCACAGCGGCCTTGAGCCGGCTGCCTGGTCCCCACAGCTCCCTCTGGAGGAGGCAGGCTTGCCTTGGAAGCTCGCCTCCTCCACTTACAAACCTGTTTCTTTTCCTAAGTCATCTTCTCCTTCCCTCCTTTTTGCAGTCCCCCCTACCGTGTTTGTGCTGCCCCTTAGCTCATGCCGTCACAAAATGCCTCATTGCCCTTCCTTCTCCTGCCCCCACACAGAACTGAGGTCCAGTCCTTCAGTGTTGTTCTCAGCAAGATAACACATCTAATTCATGTATGATAGTATCCTACTTATCTCTTAATATTTTGATAGTGTCAAATATTTAACATTCAGGAATTTAAGTGGTATGGACTTGGAGCATGAGGTAGCCAGTGGTGGAGATCATTTTGGATGGGAAAGCTGCAATTTCCCTTGCATCATACTAAGCAGGCAAAGCCTAAATATTGGCCAGGGGCCATCTCTGACCTTCTTTTCATAGAAGGCTTGAGAAGGAGCCCTTGAGACATCAAAGTGGGACCTTCATTCTTCAACAGAAGCCTAATCTAAATGAGTCCAGATTGGATTAGATAAGGAATGAGGTCAAAAAAGAATATGTGTCCTTTGAAACTAGACAATCTTACATCTGGGGGCAGGCATTTGTAGTCAGCCGAGTCACACTGCTTTAGGATTAGCCAGCACTGCTTTCTGTTTCAATAATAAAAAGTCTTGCAGAACTGTTGGCATGTGAGACAGAGGTATCCAGAAAGTCTTGGCATCTTTTCCAGCAGCATAACGGGTCTTAGGGAACAGACTTGTGAGTGCGTGGTCCATGCAGTCCACCACCAGGGACAGGTCCATGTTCACAAAGGATGTAATGCCTTTCAGTTTGTGGAGACCTTTAAAAAGAGACAAAAGTACGTTATTCTTTGGAAGAATGAGGAAGGGAGTATGTGAGGTTAGGGAACAAAGGGAAGGATGCATGTGTGGGAATTTTTAAAAATTTTCTATCTATTCCTCAGAAAAGGATGTGGCAGGACTTTCTTTAGACCCCTGGTTCTCAAGCTTAAATGGGTAGCAGAATCTCCTAGAAGGCCTATTAATCCAGATTTCTGGGTCCCAATTCCATTTTTGGACTCAATAGGGGTAAAATGGGGCCCAAGAATTTGTGTTTCTAACAATTTTCTGGGTGATAATGATGGCACCAGTCCAGGGACCAAACTTTGAGAAGCCCTACTTTAAAGCAGTGAGGTAATGATACTTCATAAAGCCTGTGAGACCCTTGGGCCCGGGAAGTTAAGGGTTTGATTCTGAATTTGTTTGAAGGCAGTACAATGTTTATGGGATATGTGGGTGTGCATGTGTGTTTATGCATGTGCTTACACACCCTCATATTCCATGTGCCTCTGTAATTCAGTGAATAAAGAGAGAATCATTGCAGCAAGCCCTGACTCAGGAAGCTCAACATACCGGTTCTCAGACAGATGAAGTGTTTGGGTGATGAGCCAAGAGACCTCTAGTGAGGCAGGCATCCCACCGAGGGGTCGGTGATGGCCTGGAGCACCCCTCCTCTGCTCTTCAAACATACCTGAGCTGGGTCTTCTCAAGGCACAACCTATTATTTTAAATCTTCCTTTGAACTTCAGGTCCCAGTAACCACAACTTCTCAACTTCTCCAAAGAGCCCAACTGAGGTTCCCTAGCAAGACTTAGTGGCTATCTTAAACTGCTCCTACTCCACCCTGGAAAGTCAAGAAAGATGAGCTTAAATTTGTGGTCTACTTTGGAACTATGAGCCTTGCTGAACTCCAGGTCCTGACATGGAAAACTCTAATAACAGGAACAACCAGTTTGCAAAATTGAACTAAAAGACTTTTCCTACTTCTGAGACAGGACACCTGAACCAGAGGCCAAGTCAAAAATAATTATGAGATTGAAATTGATGATACATTTATTGGCATTTAGAAAGCATCAATGTCAATAACAAATAGAAAAAGCTCTTTTAAATGAGGGAGTTTGTTTCTGAACCTACTTAGAACCTTTAGAGTTGGTAACTAAATGAGAAACGGAGCACAATATGGCAATGGTTCTAAGCCTATAGTGACCTATCAGCCCTGGGAGGTTTGTCAAACCAGACATTCTAGTTGCTGTCTGTCTGCGTGTGTGTGTGTGTGTGTGTGTGTACAGGAGAGATGGCTGAGGGTGTCAGCTATTCTAAAAACCTCCTCAGATGGATTTGACTTGGCTCTTGGCTCCACCTTGAAAACTCCTGGCCTTGAACTTCACTACAGTCGGCTGTCTTACTAAGCCCACAGTTGAAGAGGCAGAATCACAGTTTGGAGGGTTAAAAAGACACACATCCTGGTGAGGCCCTGCTCAGCTCAAAGCAGGAGCTAAGTGTTTGAGCAATAGCAAGTGAACTTTACAGAGCTAGGCGTTTTCAAGTGGTGGTGGAGCCCTGACACAGGAAGTTCGACCCACTCTTGCAGGCCTCGCTCTCATTGCAAAGCAGTGCCCTGTGGTGAAACCAGGCTGCCTGGACTCCAGTGCCTCTTCCACTTCCTGGCTGTGTGACCTGGGGCAAGTTACTTCTTTGTGCCTCTTCTCTAGAAGATTAAGGTGGTGTCTACTTCATAAGGCTTATTTGGGCATTTTCAATGAGAGAGTCCATGTAAAGCACTTAGAATGGTGACAAGTACATAGTAAATGTTCACTATATGTTAGTCATCATAATCTAATCTTTATCATCACTCCTCCATCCCTGACTCAGTATGACTTATGTTTCTCTCATCTCCACGCCCCTATGCATTCCTGCTCCAGAAGCTCCCTCCCAAATAGTTCCTTTCTGTCCCTTACGCCTTATTCAAACCTGACCTATCCCCTAAAGGCTTCCTAACCAGCAGTGCTTTTTATCCTGTTCTGAATTCCTTGGGCAATTAAAGATAGTATCATCCGGGCTCCTGGGTTATGTCTAAGAAGTAAAGGATCAATTTTCTTACATGCTCTACAGCCTATTGTTGCACAGTCTTGGTTACTTTTTGTTGCCAACTAGATTGTAAACTAGTTAAGGGTGAGAGTCTGAGTATTTGTATTCCAGAACATACAGAAATCCTTGAACACAACCTTGAGTGGTTGGTGTTTATCAAAAAGAGGAGGGTCGTGTAGAAGCGAAGACCATAGGCTCCAGTCCAGGCAAGCCCAGCAGGATTCGTATGGCCTTGGAGAAGACATTTCACCTTTCCAAGCCTCTAGTCCTATAGTTCTTTTGAGGAGTAAGTGACATAATTCATAAGATCCTTAGTATAGAACTTGGCACTTAGTAAATGTTCTGTAAATGTTTATAAATACTTGAAGAAGCAAGAGATGGCACTGAATTAACAGGAATCCCTGATTCATATTTAAGATCAGTGTTGGTGTATTACTATGAGAATCTTATTTTTTCATTTATGTTTGAGTCTCCTTTATGCTGCCCAGTACAATGAATCCAAAAGGACCCTGGGTCAACCCAGGAACTCACTTTTTTCAATGTAACCTTCTCCGTATTGTTGTTTGATATCTGGTGACAGATGCTTCCAAATGGCGAGTTTTTTCTCAGTGGCCTTTACTGGATCTGACAATCCTGTTTTGAACAATCCTGGTTCAATGCATGAAACATGCACACCAAAAGCTTTCATGTCCCGTCTGTGGAAAGAACCCATTGAAGATGTTTCATACAGGTTTATTTGGAGAATGTTTGCTATGGGTAACTATCTGCTTATGAATCTTTTAATGGAATCACAGAATTGGATGCATTAGAAAGGAGCATCTTGTTCTACCCTCTTAGTTTATAGATGAGGAAACTGAGGTTCAGGGTGGTGAAGTGAGGTCTGGTTTACTGGTAGAACAGGAATGGGATATGTGCAACCCATCCCCATTCCAGTGTTCCTCCTAAGCCATATTCTCATTAAATTGACAAGCGTTTGGGTCAAAGGTAGGTTTCTTCTCAGTACTCAAAGTACCTGATGGTGAAATGTACTAATGACTGGTCTGGATGGACAAGTTTACCTACACTCTAGGAATGTGAGGAGATTGCAGCACAAAGGAGGCTATGCTGAGGGACACAATGTGAAAATCCCTGATGTAACTAATCTGCTTAACAAATTCTCTCATCATGTCACCTCAGAAGACAAAAAGTCTCAATTACTGGGCAGTAGGGTCTTAGGGGAATGGTGCCCCTTTCTTTCAAGTAAACCAATATATTACAAACCATTGTATGAATAATCATTTCCTAAATTTAATTTATACTTCTACAAGGAATATATAAGGAAGTAATTATTCATTTTACAGAGGTTTTGACCATAAGATTTTTAAGGAACTTTACTAGTGAATTTAAAATGTGATTTAATTTATCTTAGGTTCTTCTTTCTAGCAACATACCTATTGTTTGGTTTAAAGTGTATGTTACTAAAAATGCAAAATAGCTTGACTTTGAAAGATTTTGAAATTTATGTTGCTTGTATTAAAATGAAAAAGGTTATTTTCCAATTTAATTGTATTTTGCTTATCCATCTTCTGATCTCCTTTGAATTTTGGAAAGTATTGCAGTGCCAAGGGGGTGTTTGGGAAAACACATCTCCTCACCCATTCATGATAATAACATACTATCTAGGGACAAATAACTTTAGGTCACTCAACTAAGTAAAATCAGTATGAAACCAGTATGCTTACTGGGCAAATACAACTTTAGAAAGCCCTAGGCTTCTCCCAACTGGACTGGTGTCGCTAAACCACCCTACATATTGAAATTATGGAGCTGCAACTGGACTGTGGTGTGTATATACAATACCATTTTCAATTCCAGTTCCATGACTTAGAAAGAAATAAACACAATTGTTTAATTTCAGGCACAGTATAGCTGTATTGTAATCCCACAAACCCTTTAGTTAAAATCTCTTTTTATAAGCTATTGTTTATTGGTTTCAGGAGGGTGGGAGCAAATCCTATTGCTTTTTTTCTCTCTTTTTCCTCTCATCATGTGGCCACTTACTTGTCACACATGTGGGAAGTAGATGGCAAAATGGGGTAATTTCTGGCTGAAAGGCAGTCTCAGGAAATGAGAAAGTACTGGGGGGATCCCAGAGAGGAAATAAGGAAAGCGACTCTATAACATTGTTTATTAACTGTATATGTGCATGTGTAGATTTGACTTAGAGAACAGGACATCTTCCATACCCCAGACTGGCTACTGTGTAGTATATATGTGAGACATATTTGACTAACACAGCAAAGGCTTTGAAAACTGAGCAAGTATTGGAATCTCAAAGCATAGAATGATGGTTGCCAGTTGTGACCTGAATACAACCTTGTCAGATGTCTACCAAAACAAAAATATCAATATTCTCCACAGGATTTAAATAAGACCCATAGCCTCCTATTATTCCAAATGTTCAGCATATAATTCATGAAAAGATCTAGGAAATTCTCAGCTCACATGGGAAATGACAATGAACAGATGCCGATGCCAAGGTGACACAAATGTTGGATTTATCAAACTTTTTAGTGCAGCTATTATAGAGGTGCTCAAAGATATAAAGTGAATTCACTTACATCTGTAAGTGAATGGAAAGTTAGAAAGCTTCAGAAAAGAAAGAAAAGGTAAAGAACCAAATGAAAATCTTACACTTGAAAAATACAATCACCAAAATAAAATATTTACTGGCTGAACTCAATAGCAGAATAGAGATAGAGGAAAGTCAGTGAATTTGAAGATATATTATTAGAAATTATCCAAGCTGAACAGCAGAAAGTAAAAGGAGAAAGTGAATAGAATCTTAGGGATCTGTGGGACAAAACCAAAATGTCTAATTGTGTTAAGGAGTCTCAGAAGAAAAAAATGTTTGAAAAATAATGGCTGAAAACTCTCCAGATTTGACAAAAGACATAAATCTACAGATACAAGAAGCCCAGTGAATCTCAAAAATGAAAAACCCGAAGAAATCCATGCTTGGAGGCACTGGGTTAGGGCTGTTGTTTGCTTAATTGTTCTTTCTTTCAAGCTCTTAAGTTCTCTGATAGCAAACAGGAAAAAGATGTGGCCAGTACTTTCTGGAGCAAAACCTTCACCTCTGATTAATAAACTGACTTGAATCTCATTTGGGATTGGAAGCATCAGAGGAAAGCTGTCTTTCTTGTTCTTGGGGTTAGGGCAAGAATGTTTAGCTATATTATCTGAAATATATAGAGATTTGGGTCACCAGAACTTGCAACAAGATAAAAATAAGCTGCATAGTTGACTCATTACTTTGTGATAATTACATTTACATTGCCAGATAATTTTCTACTGAGGGTTTAAAATAAGATGGTTCTGTTGTGTCTGCAACTGACAGTACTGGAGATTTAGCCACTCAAAATGATTCCCTATTTAACAAACTGACCTGTTGAATACAAAATCACCACTACTATCATGCACTGAAGCAAAATGTAAAAAAGATTTAGACTTATGTGCAAATCTCAGTTCTACCACTTACCAACTGCATGACCTTGGACAAATTACTTAATCTCTCTTAGTTTCAGTGGTATTATCTATAACTTGGGAATAATTTTAAGCTCCAACAGAGTGTCTGGTACATAATAAACATTCAATAAATGTTAGCAGCTATTTCCTATTTGGTTTACCTTAAGCTGTCATTGAAGCCTTCTACTGCATATTTGGATGGAGCATAGCCTCCTCCAGTGAAGGCAAGCCGACCACTGATGCTGGAGACGTTGACAATCCTCCCTCGAGCTTTTTTAACCAAGGGAAGCATATTTAATGTCACACTGATGAGTCCAAACAGGTTCACTTCAATAGGTTCTCTGTAATCCTCTACTGTCAGCCAGTCGGTGGGAGCCAGCACACCAAGAACACCAGCATTGTTGATCAGGCCCCAGAGACCTAGAACAGAGAGAAGGGATGAAATTGTGGTAGAAAGCAGCACTTATATGGGCATCCTTGATGGAAATACAGCCATTGCTTTACACCATGGTTCCATTTTCTCCTTCTAGTCTTATTCCTGCTTTGAAAGAATTCACAGTTTTGGAAATTGATAGCACAGAGGGTGGGTGGGGGGTCTAAGCTGAAATAGTTGAAGTTCTGTTATTGGAAGCCATTGCCACAGTTACTCTATTTTGGATCCTGAATGTCAAATACTGACACTGCCTGAGATTTTTGACTTTTGAATCTCAGATATAGGGTAAATGGGTCTGTTTCTCCTGTCTTGCTAGATGGTAAAGCAAGATAATATTTATAAATTGTTTTTCATAACAAAGAGGAACATCAATCTAGTTCACATTTATTTTTGGTAAAAAATCCAATCATTTACTTGGCATATTTTATCATGGGAATCATTTAATATTGTTAAACTTGTTTGGAATTCAAGCATTAAAAATTGTCTGGAGCTTTATCAAACCATTGATTTTGAAGGTCAGAATCTCAACTATATGGTGAAAATGTAAAAAAAATCATATACATTTATTTTTTCCTTTGTATACCCAAATATCTTTATTCATGAGACTGTTTCAAACTTTATTAAGCCAATAAAAGTCTTCTACTTCAAGAATGCTGCCATCTGAGCAGAATTTCATGCAGCAGGAGGTCCAATAGCCCACTATTCTACCATGATTATCAAGGACACCTTTACTCATATTCTCAGGCCATTTTCCACCTTTCCATAGAAAATGTGAGAGCTCTGGAACCATTTTGTAATGAGCAGTGGGTCCCAGGTATCTAAATGGCAATTTGAGGCTTGCTCCATGATCTTCTGTAGCTTTTACCCTGAAGTTCCTTTGTTGTGTATGTGGCTATAGTAGCACATTACAGGAGAAGACCAGGAAAAGTCAAAAGCTCCATCTTATTTTTAAATTCACCAACGGGACTTGAGACTGAGGACAACTTGGGCCGTGCATCTCATGCACAGGGAGAGCTTACAACTGGGACTCTTCATGGCACTATCCTAAGACTTCTCACGTCTTCTCCAGGACTTAGCTGGTATTAAGGAGACACATTCTTGAAAGGTCGTTTAAAATCTGAACACACTTTGTTTAGCTTTAGTTATTTCAAAATACCCTCTCCGCTTTCCTCACTGTTATGTCACTCACCTTTTTCCCCAACTTGGCTTTTCACCCACTGGGCGGTCCTCCTGACATTCTCTGGGTCAGTCACATCCAGAAGCACGGCATGAAGCCTCCCTGAGGTTCCTGCCTTTAGAGCTGCTGATCCTGATTCAGTCAGACAGGCAGCAATTACATGAAATCCTTTTTTATCAAATGTTCTGGCTGCCAAGTTTCCAAATCCTGTGTCACACCCAGTAATGAAAATGTACTTATCAGTGATGTCTGCAATCCTTAGTTGTCCTTTATAATTCCATAGAAAACCACAGAGGATTAGGATGGCTAATATCCAAAAGAACATTTTTTCCTGTATGTGACAGTAAGACTTCTTTCTTGAACAATAAAAGAAGATGGTGTCCTTAGTATTCAAAATTAGAAAGAAAAATTCAAATTAGAACAGTCAAAGCATTATAACCCAAGATTGATGAACTTGAGATATTTTAATGCATTTGAATGGATAGTTTAAAATGGCCATTTAAGAACTACTCTTTTAAAGTAATGTAAAAACTAATGAAGTAATAGAGAAGGGAAATAGGAAAGAGAGAGAGAGAAAGAAGAACCACAGCAGAAAGGCATTGGGTCAATGTGATGTTTGTCCCAAGTGTGCATTCACCTGTGTGAGAGAGAGGCTCTCATGGGAATATCTGATCTCTTGCTATTTCAGGAAATTCCAGAGTAGAATAGACAAAATCTACTAGAAAATGTTCAGTTTTAGTTGATTTATCCAATTCTTTATTATTTTCAGACTGTTGGGGAAAGGAGTGCTTTGGTGTTGCCACTATGAAAATATTTCCAAGTTGGTTTCCATTTTTTTAATTCAACCCAACTTCAACCCAACTCTGAGACTATTACAACTCAATGCAGAGAGTATGAAAATGTGAGGCCAGCAGTGAGTTCACTGCAAGAGGGCGAGAAGATAGGAAGAGGCTGGGAGCCAAGGTCATAGAATCCCAAACCAGAGCCAAGAAGGTTGAGGTTGTATCCTCTCTGATGCCAGCTGTGTGTGACGCAAAATAATCCCATGTTCAGAGGCAAAGTAAAACAAATTCATACTTTCAAACTGTGAGGCTTTGACTACTGCAGAATGACCTGGAAAACTAATTCTGTCAGGGCTCGAACTGCTTAGGGCCTAAAATCAAACAGGTGGAGGGATTCCTGAGAGCACTGCACCTCCATTTCCCCTGAGCATATGTCAAATTTTTTTTAATTTTAGGGAAATGTTATTATTTCATGTATACTTTCTGCCCCAATTTAGAAATATTATGATTATTTTTGAATTAAAATACATGTTAAGGAAAGAATACTGTATTAATTTTATAGTCTTGACCATTTAAATGTATGCTGAAAGTTCCACTGATTGTTTTGCAGGGTTTGACTACAAAATAACAGTTGTGGGTGAATCAGGAAATTGTATCACTGAAGATGAGTTTAATATTAATTTGGAAGTGTAAAACTGTTGCAGGGAGAGATCTCAGACTATTTTCGGAAAAATATTCCATTTATAATACAATGTTTGTTATTTACAAAGACAGCTAACACTATCACTTTTACTGTGGCTACCCTGGCTGGAAAGAGTAAGCCGTCTGGTAAGAGGAAGTAAACAAGAACTGGAGGGTGTTTGTTTGCCTCGGGTCTGAGCATCATGGCGACCCCGGCCTCCCAACTCACAGCCATAGGACCCAATGAAAGGAACAGATTATTTCAGGTAAAAAAAATAACTCAGTGTAATATATCTTCTTCACTTCTCAAGGAAATTTTGGGTTCTGCTTTTATTATTTTTTCCCCTGCCAAGAGATCTACAGCTAAAGAAAGAAAGGGTAAAAGAATTGCCAATTGATAAACATAAGTCATAGGTAAGTGGTAAAAGATGGAAGGTTTGAGCAAACTAGTTGATTCTTGTGGTATAGTTATGATTATTTCTAAAGCATTAAAGCTTTTAGATTATCATGGTTTAGTTATTTGGTATAGTTTCCCCAAGTCTTTCCTGGGTAGGAGTTACTGATTTGTTGCAAATCAATGTCCATGTCTTTCTCAAATATATAAATACATTAAAATTATAATTTTTGGTGGGTGTTGGTGTAACTAGCTCTTGCAAAAATTCATATTTAGATATTTTAAGAAAATTTCACATTTATAAATTCAGTTAGTGTAGTTTTTTGCTCAGGTCTGGTCTTGGTGAATAATTATTGAAAACTAAATGTTGAACATACTCTCTGATTGGATTCTGTACCTTTATTGTAATCCATGGGAATTACTCAAAGAAGGGAAATACTCATGTGGGTTAATGTGCCCTAGAGCAGAGCATAGAAACTGTGTTACAGCCATATTTTGCCAGGAGCAAATATGGAGAGTAACAGTGAAAAAATGGCTTACATTTGTGAAGCATTCTACTCCATACCTTTACATATGGGTCTTCTTTGATCCTCTCACCTCTTAGAGAAAGTACATTATCTGCCTCATTTTATAGAAGAATTAGTATGCCAACTAATAAATGTAAAAGGAATCATGGCATTGGCATTTGGCAACTGACAGAGTAGCAATTGTTTCATGCAAGAATGACTATAGAAACTAAACTAGTGGGTGAAATTCTGATGTGAAACAACAATGAATCTCAAAAAAACTCCCAATAAGAATCATACTAATTAAAAAGAGAGCAATAGTAGTTTCACAGTAGAGAAGTTTGATAGATACCACCTTGACCAAGTAATAAAAATAAACACCATTAGTCATGGGGCAAGCCAACATCGTGTGCCTTCTGGTGTGGCTCACTGGGAAGGACACAGCAGTGCTCTGGTTCACAGGGGAAGCTAATCAAACATGGGGACACATAGGGACACATCTTCCATCTCTACACCATGTATGGCCTGTATGCAGAAACTTTAAAGTCATGAAGGAAAAGTAAGACTGAGGACTGTTCTAGGTTAAGGGAGACTGAAGAGCTGGGACAACCCAACTGAACATGTGGTTCTGGACCAGAAAATAATTTTTTTCTTTTGCTAGAAAGAACAGTATTAGGTCAACTAGTGAAAGTTGAGTAAACTCTGGAGACCTGATAAATAATATTGCTTTAATATTAATTTCTCAATTTTTATAATTTACTGTGATTATGTAGAAATATCTTGCTTTCTAGGAAACACACACTGAAGTATTTAAAGATAGCACCATGACTTCAACTTACTCTTAAACAGTTCAGGAAATAATAAGTATATAAATAAATAAACACATTAAAACACATGTATATAAAGAGAAGAAGTGTAAACATGATAGAATGTTGGTTAATACTGGGGCTTCTGTGTTGTACCATGATTTCAACTTTTACAAAAGTTTGAAATTATTTCAAAATAAAAATTTAAATATTTGGCAAGGGAAAAATAAAACTTTTTTTTCCTGAGAAAAGGCTTCATTTGACTGCTTTGGGTTCCATGCACAAAATACAAACCCCAGGACTTCAGAATCCAGTGACTTTGGATGCCAAGTTTTCTGCTCTCTGCTCATGGGTCAGTTCACCTTCACAACCACTAGAGAAAAACAAAAGCTCAGACCAAATAATCACATTCCTTCCCCCTCAGCCTCTCCGTCCGCCTTCAGCCTCTTTCATCCCTAGCCATTTTTCTCTGGTGACAAGCACACAGAAAGCTTCTTAGTCATTAAGGGTGGGTTCACATTATAATGGGCTGTCCTCCTTAGGTACACATCTGGGCTGATGGTCATTTCTGGTGACCCACCTGCAGCTTGAACCCAAGGCACTGTCAACCTTGACCTGGAGTTTTGCAAAGCCTGTCCTTATCTCAAACCTTATTGTCCAAAAATACAGGTTCTTCTTCAATCCCTGAGGTTCACATTCCTCTAAATCATTGGACCAAGTCAGCCCACAAACCAGCACATACCTTTGACCTTTAATAGTATTTTAGCCAAGATGCTAGCTCTGAGCAGCAGCCCTTGGTCAGAGTCACTGGGAACGTGACCTGTACACAGAAGCCTATTGATGGCTAGTTGATTTACTGACCACTGAGAAGTAAATGAGTAACAGCCACTAACAGGTCTGGCTCAACCATGCTCTGCCCGCTTGGTCACCTGCACACAGCTCCTGGCCTCACAGGTCACACTCAGGACACCGACCTTTGTTGCTTGGGTTGTTTGCTAGTGTGCTCTGTCTTCCGATTAATGTCACAACAAACTGCAAGTTGGAGTACAGATCTTTTAACTCCAGGCAAGCAGCACCTCATTCTCTAACAGTCCTGTTAGTGCACAGTGGTGTGAGCCTCTGGGTCACCAAGGCTGAGGACAGGACAAGGAAAAGCAGATCTACAGCCCCCACACCACGGTGCACAAGACAGGTACACTTCTAAATATGCATCCTCTCTGCTGGTCATGGAGATTTTTCTAAAGCCAAAATAAATGCTAGGAGTAATGTGGGAAGCAAGGGCCAAGGACAGTCACACACCCCAGAAAAGCAGGGTTGGAGTCCAGGCCTCAGAATCAGGACAGTAGAGAGGTTCAGTCCCAGTTTCTTTACCATCAGAGGGCCTTTGGGTGAATTACTTATATTTTCTTAGCATTCATTTTCCTGTCTGTGAAATAGAGATGATAACTTCAACTTTGGAGAGCACCTGTTGTGATAGATTGTCCAAAGCTGTTACTTAGGAAGAACCTTATCCTTTGGGCAGGATCAAAGGCTCTCACTTTGTGTGAGGTCCGCTCTGTGCATCGCTTTTATCTCAGCACAGGTTTCTCAACCCTGGTACTTTTGCTCTTTTAGGTCAGACAGTTACTTGTTACAGGGTCTGTCCTGTGCATTGCAGGATATTTAGCATCACCACTGCCCCTGGAAGCTAGCAGCCGCCTGCCCCAGTTGTGACAACCAGAATCATCTCCAGATGCCTCCTGGGGGACAAATCCCTCCCAGTTTTTTCTTTGTCACTCCCGCTCCAGAGTTTCTTTGCTTTGGGGGCCCAGAACTTTACAGCATCTAGAACTTCTTTTCTAGAAACTCAGTCATTGGTTCTTTGGTGGCACCACAGTGATGAGTTTAGTGCTCTATGCCCTCCCCAGAAAAGTTTTGTTACTTGTAAATACTACTCATGCCATGTTGCTATAAGCATTACTTGCTATGAGTTTTTTTTTTAAATGACCTTTTGTCATCAGGATAGGAGGTGGTGAGCAAAGCCAGATTTATGTATAAGGCCACTTGTGAATTTTAGAAATTGCCAAATTAACACTCACAGTATTTGTGAGGCTTAAATTCTGGCTGAGACTTTTAAGTTTGGGCCTCTATAAACTCCTCTGGGAAAGGTGTACCTTTCAGGTGGGTGGCCAGTTGACTCTCTAAAATTCAGAATATGCTCGTAGAAAATCCATGGTACTTGAGATTCCCAGTTGACTAAATCAGGTAGGAGTGATAGTTTATGGTTTATTGAGCACTTCCCATGTTCTAGGCCCACTGCTAAGATCTATAAATATTTATCTTATATAAACCTTACAATAAAATTGTCTCCATTTTATAGATGATAAAACAATTCAGAAACATAGGTTAATGGGCTCAAGATACAATTGTAGTGCCATTTTGGTGACTGATACCCAGGACACTTTGATTCCACTACTCATGCTTTAATGCTCTGCTCCACTGCCCCCAGAGCCCCCTTGGGCTCTGGGAGTCTGGGTTATGAGTGCTTTTCTCTAGACTACCAGTACTACTTGTGTGATATTTGGCAGTAAGCAAATAAATATTGGGGAAGGAAAGATGGAAGAGGAGAAGGGAGTTTCCCTTCTAACCCCAGGGTTCTGGTGATAACTGGGTTTGTCTTGGAGTCCTCTGAATCATCATCATCATATAATATTCACATTTCCAATTTAGATATCAAAATTTTTTGAAAAGTATTCAAGTAATGTTTATCTCATTTAATTGCTTAAATACTTCTGTGAGCTAAGTAGGGGGTGTCATAATAAAGTCATTTGCCAGAGAGTGGATAGAATTAAAATTTTGATCTCTGAACTCCTAGCTGTGTAAAAAGAGAAGAGAAAACCACAGAGAGAGATTACCACACTATCAGTCAACAGGAGGAATGAAATACTCTATCCGAATTCTCTACCATGTCACAAAGATTAAAAAGGAACCAAGAAAGGAGAACCACTTTTCTCTTTCATTTGCTATGCAAACTGCTTAGAAGTAACCACCTGTCTGCAGCTGTAGGAAAATATTGCAACTCGACTGCTGTCCTGCTCACTTCTGCTTCTCTTAACTTTCTCTTCCTGGGTTTCTGTCCTAGTAAAAAAATATTTTAAAAGATACTTTCATTTTACTTCTCTTATGCATCTTCTTCTGCCTTTTAAAAGTAAATGACTCAATTTAAATAAAAAAGAACTAAAAATGATGCACTAATGTCATTGTGAGCTATGATTTTTATAAGAAATACAGTTATTTCTAGATATTTCCTCCCAAATGACTTGATTTTATTTCCACGTAACTCCCTGAAGGGCCTCATCTTAGAAAGTAATACTAACTGGTTAATCACACAGCTTGATAGGAATTTGTAGAATCTTTATTTACTTTCAGTTTGTTGCAGTTGTGGCCCACGCTGAATCCACAACTAAGTGATTTACCAAAATCATCAAATAGAGAGCATTTAGCAAGAGCTTTTTAGAATATTCTTTCTGAGGTTCTCTTCCACAAGCTTTCTATTGACAGCAGTCTGGACATGTATGTCCCTTGTACACTTAAATTCTGTAAAGCTGTTTAACTCACACCAAAGTCCTTTTTATTTTGATCTTTACTGAAGTAAGAAATTCTGTGTTGTTTTCTTTTTGTAACTCAGGTGGCCTTGCACAGCTTTTGGATGTACTTTTCTTTAAGAAAAATGAACAATTTGTGCTTAATGACACACTAATTCCTTTGACAAATGAATTATGTTTCTGTGAAAACAATGCTCCAGGTTGGGTATCCAGAACTCTCAAAAAATTTTTTTAATGGAGCCAAGGGATCAGAAATATGTTTGCATTAAGCAACAAATGTTAAGAGGTCTGATTACAATATTGCTAACAATGATGGTGCTGCTGCTGCTGATATAATTGAGATGGTATTCATCGTCATTCATCAGCATGGGAATGTAAGCCCCTCACTCAGTGGGATGAAGAAGATCCTCCACCAGCTACATTTCCCTGGGGTTGTGCTTCCTCCAGGAGGGAGGTGACTCCAGGTACCCAGCATGCACTGTGTGTAGTGGGCCCATGAGGGTGGAAAATGCCGGCTTCTTCTGCAGACTCAGTCCTCTAGCAGAGGGGTGCCCGCCTGCTCATAATGTAGGGAAGAACCGATGGATTTACATTGAGCTATTTTAGTCCTAAGGACAAAAGTATCTCTGATTTTCTTTTGCTTTCATTCAAAACTTTAGTTACAATTCACTGTAACACTGGTAGTTATTAATTAATTATTCTTAGTCACTCTTAGGTTTATTACTTTGACAGTATGCTTCCTGACAGTATTGGCATGTTAAAGCCATGGTTACTTTATTTATGGTCACTAGAATAAAAACTGCTAGCTGCAAAAGATAATATATTGTATATTATTATAGCTTATAGTTACAAGGCTTCAAAGAAAACTTAGAATACAGACAGAAAGTGTGTCCAAATATTTAGCATAATTTCTTTCAGCCACAGTTATGTTTGAACAGAAGGAAAGGTCTGAGTTTTTAAGAAAGTGACATTGGTTTGAAAAGATTTTAAGACAATCTTCTCATTTCCTCATTTGAAATGTATGAGATAATAATTTGTTTCTTGTATTTAAATATTGAGATTTGTTCTAAAAATTGGACACACTCTTCAAATCTCAAAAAATACTATACAAAGATGATATAACATTTAAATTTCATTTTATGCAGCATCTAGCCAAGGCTATTCTTAGAACATCTAACATATGCCAAGAGCTACTAAGATAAAGTACAATCTTACCTTAAGCTAATAGTGTAAGGAGACATTTCAGGACTATTTATACAACCCTAAATTTATTTTTAATTTAAATTTGTGTTTTATTTAAACTTCTTCCCCAATCACTAAAAATGTACTACTGAGGGAGCTCACCACACCATAATTTTAACCGTGAAGGTTTTAACAAGGGCTGTGGGTGTTATATGGCAGCCAAGCCCCTAAACCACCGTTTTCCCTTTCCTAGTGTATGTTGGGAGTCAAAATGAAAACAGACTTTGGACCCAAGGTCCAAGTTCTTTCAGGTACAAGACCAATCACTGCATCATAAAATGGAGGGTAAATACCTGAAACAGGTTTAGTGCTGTCATTCTAGGATCCAGGAATCAAGTATGCGCTGTGAGGAATTTCCCTGCTTCCTTCCTACCTGGAGACATTTTTCTCACTCAGTTTAGTGTGCGTGTGTGCATCCGCCTCAACTGACATCTGATAACATAGGTAGAGCAGTTAGACAAAAGGCCAGACCTGCAGGCAGTTAGTTAGTAACAAATCTGTTGTTCCAGTAAGAAACTCAGCTAAGATTCCTACTCTTTTTGGATCCCCGTAGCCCTCTAGTTTCCAACTACTTACAGGATTTACAGGTAATGAATCTTATGAATCTTTCACAGGTCAAGTAGGTGCAGAGAGAATAAGTAGATGTAAATTTAGCAACTCAAGGGTGCTAAAGAGCATTCAAAGAGGGACCTGGGGAAGTTCAAGGTAGGGTCCCAGTGACACTGAGATCATTCTACCGTGAGATGCACCCAGTGCCCAACACAGCCTTCTAACGTATAATGATTCATTTTTTAATAGCAACAGTTAACCACAGCATGAAAACAATTTGATTAATTCTGTGAGAGGGAGGAAAATCAAAGACAGTTTGAAGAGGGACATGAGAAATTTAGAAATAAACAACGAAACTTAGCCATCTGTTACCTTGTTAAAGATGACCTGGGATGCAGAAGCCGTTGTGACCTGCCCGCTGGGCTGGGGAAGGGAGTGTTGTGCCGCCGGGCCTCACTGGTCCTCTGGAGGTGGCAGTGCCTCAGCTTCCGTCGAGCTGAGAGCCTACATGTGTGAGGAGTCCTTAGCTTCCCTCCTCACCATGAGTCACACTTGTGACACTGGGTAATGACTAAATTTTTCTTCAATGAATGAAGGAAGTCAAGAGGCTGTGGGTTACATGTTTCCAAAGGAATCTGCAGATAAAATTTAGCAACTTTTTGAGGAACTTAAAAATAATCAGTAACACTCCTTTAACTGTGAGTACAATCTTTTGGACCAAATTCAGCAACTGAAATAATGTAACATGGAAGCATTTTGCCAGGTATATTGTTTAAATAATTCAATTTTTGAATTATGATTATTGTTCATGATCTCTTATTTTAGTTTTTCTTTCTTTCTTCCTGATAAGATGTCATTGCTGATTTAGTACTCCTTCCATCCTGATGATCCTTTTTACCACTTCTTCTCTCCTTCACAGTGGTGAGCAAGAAGATGAAAATGATTTACTGAAATGAGATTTGGGACTTATTTATGAGTCTTAATTTGTGTTTTAACGTATGACAAGGATATTTTACTGAAGGGTTCTCTGAAACTAAGATCACTGAGAATAGAAAAGCATGCCTCTCCCTTCCAGAGCTGATCTGTTTTAGGATTAATCACAATTGACTGGGTATATCCTGGGACTACAATGGAAGGTATTGAGGCTGCAGGTGACAAGAGGGAAAAGATGGTGTTATCATACACCACTCCCTGCCCAGCACTTCCTCTTAGGCACACAGGCAGATACAAACTCCACTGATTATGTAGTCTATTTCCTTATATGCTGATTGATTGCTATTCATTACAGATTTCCCAACGCTTCAGTTCCTTCTTTGAAATTGCAGTTTAATAGTGGTTTAGCTGGGGTGAGTGGATGAATAACACATCTGTCTAGGTAGAGTCTAGACACTGCTATCACTCTGTAAGTTAAATAGGGATATTTTTTCTCTAAAAGAACAAAAAAACCGAGACTGACATTTACTCAGGTAGAGATTTAGGGTGCCAAAAATGTGCCACATATACTTCTTTCTCTTTGATATCCCAACTCAAAGTAAGGCTTAAATAGAAAAACTTTTAGAGAAACATTACATTGATTTAATCCACATGAAGAAAGGCATAAGTGATTAGTATCAGGCTCCACCTATGAGCAAGTTATTGTGACTGAGAGGTGGAAAGAGCCCGAGGCCCCTGGGTGGACATGGCATAGAGAAGAGTAGAGCAAAGAAAAGGCTGTAACATTAGTAAGTTTTGCTGATTCAATGATCTCACCTAGTGCAGCTCTACTTAAAAAAAACCTTCCCATATAGACTTAAAATAAAATAAAATATTTTGACTCTTTTGCATATTGAGAACTACAATTCTTGCTATGTGTACAGATCCCTCAATTCCAGTGGACCCAGTTTGAGAGTTCAGTTTCACTAGCACTGGCACCTGGGTTGGAACACTTACCACTCATCAAATGGTGTTTGGTTAATGGGATCATTTGTTAGGAGCACCTGATCTGGACGGTAACCATATCCACTTTCAAATTCACACCTTAAGCGCTAACTTTCTTTCATTTGGTTCATTAATAAGGGAACCTATGAACGTGCAGCTTTTTTCAGAACTCTCCCTATGTTAGACTTCTAGTCATCAAAGGTGATGTAAAAAATCTCAATTGCCATTCTATTTTTTTCTCTAGTTGCTTTTTTTTGGTATCATTAATCTACAATTACATGAGGAACATTATGTTTACTAGACTCACCCCTTCAACAAGTCCCCCCCACATACCCCATTAGTCACTGTCCAGCAGTGTAGTAAGATGAGGTAGAATCACTACTTGTTTTCTCTGTGTTGACCAGCTTTCCCCGTGCCACCCCCCACATTATACGTGCTAATTGTAAGGCCCCCTTTCTTCTTCCCTCCCATTCTCCCTTCCTTCCCACCCATTCTCCCCAGTCCCTTTCCCTTTGGTAACTGCTAGTCCATTCTTGGGTTCTGTGATTCTGCTGCTTTTTTGTTCCTTCAGCTTTTCCTTTGTTCTTATATTTGACATATGAGTGAAATCATTTGGTACTTGTCTTTCTCTGCCTGGCTTATTTCACTGAGAATAATACCCTTTAGCTCCATCCATGTTGTTGCAAATGGTAGGATTTGTTTTCTTCTTATGGCTGAATAATATTCCATTGTGTATATATACCACATCTTCTTTATCCATTCATCTACTGATGGACACTTAGGTTGCTTCCATTTCTTGGCTATTGTAAACAGTGCTGCAATAAACAGGGGTGCATCTGGCTTTTTCAAATTGGGCTGCTGCATTCTTAGGGTTAATTCCTAGAAGTGGGATTCCTGGGTCAAATGGTGTTTCTATTTTGAGCTTTGTGAGGAGCCTCCATACTGCTTTCCACAATGGTTGAACTAATTTACATTCCCACCAGCAGTGTAGGAGGGTTCCCCTTTCTTCACAACCTCTCCAACACTCATTGTTGTTTGTCTTTTGGATGGTGACAATCCTTACTGGTGTGAGGTGATATCTCATTGTGGTTTTAATTTGCATTTCTCTGATGACTAGTGATGTGGAGCATCTTTTCATGTCTCTGTTGGCCATCTGAATTTCTTCTTTGGAGAACTGTCTGTTCAGCTCCTCTGTCCATTTTTTAATTGTATTGCTTGCTTTTTGTTTGTTAAGGTGCGTGAGCTCTTTGTATATTTTGGATGTCAAGCC